TAGTTTCTGATCCACACCAAGCATAGACCCTGGTTGTCCTTTTTGGCGCTGAAGGATTAAGAAATTCTTATCCTCTTTATTTTTTTATCTGTTCCAAAGCTTCTAAATGAGTTATGTCAAACAGATCATCCATATTGTCTTTGCCTGCACCTCTCATCATTCTTTTACAAGCCTTTCCATTCACCATACAGTTTCAGTAACTTCTCAACACAGTGGTCAGTTCTTTTAGTAGGAATTCTTGCTATTTGCCGAAAAATGGAAACTTCTTGAATCACCAGTATTGCACTTTCTTTTGTTGCAAACTTTACAACTCTTACATTGTTGAAGAAAACGCGTAAAAATTGCTGGTTCGAAGGCAATTTGGCTCTGACCATTTCATTTGAAATGTAGCCAATAAGACAGACATGAAAATCTTTTCTTAACTTCTGTGACGAACTCCCAGACGAACTTGATGCCATTTTACTGTTTAAAAAGAAGACAACCTAAAAGTCACTTAACATGAGCAGCACAAACAGTTTTGAAAACAGTTTTTCTTTTCACCTCAAAACTTTTCACCTCAAAAATGACTCCAGGGCAAAAATTTCATGGACAATGAGGGTCGACTTACAGTTGTCCGATTACGCTAAAATTTTGTTTAGATCATTATTTTCATGATTGGAACAAGAAATAGGGTTGGGAGCTAAACAATTGGAAAGTTTAAAAATAAATATATATATATATATATATATATATATATATATATATATATATATATATATATATATATATATATATATATATATATATATATATATATATATATATATATATATATATATATATTAGGGTGGGTCGAAATGTAAAAAATATTAAGTTGGAGATCCTGTACATGTCTAAAAAGTTGCGTTTTGATGTACTCCTTTAAAAAAACCTCACTTTTTATTTTATGGACAGTTTCTACAGGTCCTAACTCTGACTAGAAAGACTATATAAATACCCAATGTTAGTGTAATGTATTGCAATGTATTACAAATTAAAAAGAATGTTAACTGTAACGAATCAATGTTAAACAGCAACAATACAAAGTTGTTTAACCTAACTGTTAATAAAATCTTTCTTGCTGTCTATTTTTGGTATCTCTAATCTGGATTTCTTACTTTGTAACACCATGCCATGACGGGACTTTCTCCCATAAACTTTACAGCTCGCAGCGCTAACGTCTTTAATTGTTCTCTCTACTGCCTGTGAATGACATGGAACATTGGGCAGTAGTATTGAATGTGTGTAAGTAAGTTGATCATTTGAAAGGTGTGATAGCATCGGAGGAGACGTAACATTACTCTGGTCCCAGTCAATCATGTTAATGAACGATGTCGCAGCCAGATTTAATGTTATATCCTTCTTATCAAAGACCGGTATGTTACTATTAGTCTACTTCTCTCTTGCTCTTATTATTTGTTCTACTGAAAAACGACGAATTTCCATATCACTATCACTAACTGCAGCTAACAGAATGTTTTCAGCATGCGCAAAGTAGCAGTTATTTTTGAGAACAGGAAAAACCACAGCCTAATCTAATGCATCAAGTTCCTGAAACAACTGAACTAAGTAAAAGAAGTTGTTAGCACCATTTTGGCAAGAAGAATTTGATTTGATTTTGAACCAAGAGGATTCGTAAAAGTTCAAAATGAAATGCGTTACTCTTCTGAGAGGTTTAGATGCGACCTCTCTAAACATGTAGAGACGCAAAATCCTGTTGGCTTTCGTAAACCACCGAGCATGACTTATATTTCCAGGTAAACTCTTCTCGAGGAAATCAATATCTGTAGAAGCCTGACGTCCACGCTGTACTGTTAGACATGCTTTCAAAAAGTACAGTTGGTCTGTGCTAAGATCCTTCTTGACAGCTTCATCACAATCAGTCACCTTACCAGTAATTGGCAAATAATTAACGACAGGCAATTCATTCGGATCATATTCTAGAGCTGAGCTAATTGTACCTGTCGATGTGGAAGGTCCTGTAGTTGAAGCAAAATCCACGCCTGCCAAAAACCTTCCAAATGCAGCTCGTTACAGTGTAGAAAGCATACCAACCACTGTAATGGTCTACCTAAGTTCTCCTCCAATTTTCTTATGATTCCGTTGCTTTTACCTGTATTATTATTTATGCCATCACACACAACATCTTGAATGCTTTCTACGGAGTCTGTCTCTATAATAACTAACATTAACTCCTTTGTTATATCAGCAGCTTTACTACTTTCAGGAACTACATGATCGATGTATATGTTATGTATATAACTAGATGATCTACATTTATGTATATAACTACATGATCGATGTATATGTTTCCTGGATACGAGACAATGCTATTTTACTTCTACAACCAAAACTCTCAACTAATGTAACGTCTTGTTTTCCATCAAAGCCTATACAGCACAATTCCTTATTGCTCTGCATATGTTCTTTAACCAGAGTATCTCTCCAGAAATTCCTTTGTTGACATAGCTTTAAAGGATCAAGAATTGTTGCAGACAACATACTGAGGTCTTTTAAAACAGCATTAACAATAAGACATGTATCTCTGTTGCTAATTTTGCATCGATCAACTGCTTTACATAATTTCTAGTACTTGTTTCTGTTCTGCACTGATACTGTCTCTTCCTCTGATGTATAATTACTTTCAGACATGTTACCCTCATCCTCATCAATATCTTCCTCAGTTTCATATTCAACCTCTTTTGACTGTGCTGCATCACATACTGATTTCATAAATTTGCGTTTTTGTCTCTTTTCCAGTGTTGCTGTCGTTTCTTTGTCTACTCCACCAATTATCATATTTCTAACAGTTTTCTGGTCAACCCAGAAATCCCACTCTATCAATGGATTTTTTTTTATGGACATGTGCATAAGTTCCTATCTCTAATGCCCAAATCAAAGCATTTGCAGGTACAAATGTCAAATAAATGCTTAAAAGAATTCAACTTCTCAGTGAAAGTGTCTGATGTTCTTTTTGCATCGGAATATTTTTCAAGTGTATGTACTTTATCCATAAGTCTTCTAATCCTAATGATTGTGCTATTCACTTCTACTGTAGGAATACTTGCTTTTGAATAAACACATTTCACTGTCTGCTAAAATTGAATATCTTTCTTGCAAGCTAATTTCTAATACTGTTTTCTGATTATAATAGAACGCCTTAATAACGTCTTCATATGATGGGATTTGATTTTCAGGAAGATCAACATTTTGCCCAAACAATTGATGTTTAGTTGCACTTCGTGTAAACATACTATCCATATTTAATATAATTTGTCTAAAATAATAAAAAATACTATCCATATTTAATATAATTTGTCTAAAATAATAAAAAAAACTACAACAAGTTATGTTTACAATAAATAAAAGCTGTTAAAACAATTTTTCAAAAGAATTTAGTCAATAAATATTCAAATATTTACACAGACTATAATATGTTTAGCCCTCTCATAAATAGGCCTACATGTTAAATGAAGTGATCTTTCTACAGTTTAAACTATAGCCTACTGTAGTATATATCTATATTAACCTACTTGAATTTTACTATAGATCTATTATTGCAAAGAAGAAAATAAAATTACAAAATAATATATTAAATATTTTGCTTGTTTCTAAAAAATCCAGCACATGGTTTGTTGCTAATGTTGCTAATAGTGACATTACATGTAAATAACGTTATAAAATTTATTCCAATTCTTTTTTAGCACTTGTAGTTAGATGCTAAACCATTTGCTAATGCATTTTAGTCAATGATTTATAGTTGGTACGTATTTAGATTGTACCAAGGAAAGGGTTAAAATACATCAAATAAGGTAAGACTTTAATCAAAAGTTGGGACCCCTAAACATTTCATAAAAAAATCTTTAAATATTATTTTCATACTGTACTGATGCCAAGACAACTTTTTGTTCATGTACAGGAAAGATAAATAAATTCGACCCACCCTAATATATATATATATATATATATATATATATATATATATATATATATATATATATATATATATATATATATATATATATATATATACACACACACACACACACATATATATATATATATATATATACACACACACACATGTGTATATATAAATAAATATGTATATATATATATATATATATATATATATATATATATATATATATATATATATATATGCACTTACTAAAGCGTGTTTTGATAAGCATTTGCTCACTTTTTGTGCTTACTTTAAGGTAAACCATTTTTTTCGAAAAAGAAGAAGAAAAAAACGAAGAATGATAAATAAAATGATTGCTTCCCCATCCCAAACACTCAGTCGATGTAGCAGCACTCCACTGCGAGTCAGGCTATTTGTCAGTCGTTGTATGCACTGAAACCCCCAGCAGCCGGATATTTCAGTGTGATGTCAGATTGCTAACCAAAGTACGCAATACTATTTGTATATCTATATATATATATATATATATATATATATATATATATATATATATATATATATATATATATATCAGTGCTTGAAATAACATCCGATCAACGATCAATAATTGGCTATTTTTAGGGAAAATTTCGAAAAATTCAAGGGAAAATAACCTGCTTTTGTTAAAAAATTACATTTGATCGGCAGGCTTTGAAAAACTATTTTGAGCGCATATATATATATATATATATATATATATATATATATATATATATATATATATATATATATATATATATATATATATATACATATACATATATATATATATATATATATATATATATATATATATACACACACATATATGGCAAATAAAATTTTTTTGTGTGCATAAAAGCACTTAAACTCGCACTACTAATGAAACATTGAAAGGCCTCTTGTGCTAAATATATATTGTTACAAATCTTTTATATATATATATATATATATATATATATATATATATATATATATATATATATATATATATATATATATATATATATATATATATATATAAAAACATATATATTACCTTGCAGCTTTATTGCATACATGTAAAAGTCCAACTGCAAGTGCATCAGAATAGCAAATGGAATATCTAAATTTTTTAAACTTTGTTAAAAATTGAAAACATGTAATATATATATATATATATATATATATATATATATATATATATATATATATATATATATATATATATATATATATATATATATATACATATATATATATATATATATATATATATATATATATATATATATATATATATATATATATATATATATATATAATATATATTATATAAAATGTATAATAATAAATATAATATAAATTAATATTTAACAATAAATATTATAAAATGTATTACAACAAACAATATAAATGGGGTGCAAAAATGCAAACACAGCTAGATAAACTATGAAAATATGTACTTTTTTACTTTTTGTTAAAAAACGATAATTTTTTATAATAAACTTTTTAAATTCGTAAATTTCTTTTATTATTTTTAAAATTTTCATAAAATTTCACTTCTTTTGAGACCCAACATGATAAATATTTGAAGAACTTTTTTTTTCAAAACATTAGGGACCTGTCTGATGTTTAAGGGTCTTGTGCAACCCCTAAAAATTATTTTTATACGAAAATTTTTTAAATGTAGTATTGATTTACTACATAGAACACATTTAGGGTGTCCCATCAGACATTTTCAAAAAATGTTGTTTTTAGAACCACCCTAAAATATATATATATATATATATATATATATATATATATATATATATATATATATATATATATATATATATATATATATATATATATATATATATATATATATATACATATATATATATATATATATATATATATATATATATATATATATATATATATATATATGTATATATATATATATATATATAATATATATACATATATTTTTTTACATCTTTGATTCCAACAAGGCTGCAAGCAACCACAACCATTAGAAGATCCGCCCCAAATATGGCAACAGTATTTCAAATTGAGATTTATAGAGATAAAGAATAGAATCCGGAGAAAGAAAGTGTTGAGATCGATAAATAGATCCAATCTTAGCAGATGCTAATTTTGCAATGGATTTGATATACAGTTTCCAAGAAAGATCGGAAGTAAGAGTTAATCCTATAAGATAAAAGGTAGATGACTCATCAAGTACGTTACTGCTCATAAATATAAAAAATCAAAATAATTGCAATAACGATTGGCTGAAAAAAATTGAGTTTCATTTGAATTAAGTTCACCAGCCACTGTGAGCCCCAAGCTGTAGCAGAAGCAAGATCCTTTTCAAGCTCAAATGCCTCCTTCAAGCAATCAGAGAGCGTCGGCTTCTTATCATGACAAGAATAAATGGTAGTATCATCAGCAAACAATGCTACCTCAGATATGAGAATATCTGAAAAATTATTAATGTAAATTAAAAAGAGTATAGAGCCAAGAATTGAACCTTAAGGAACCCCTGAAGTTACAGAATATGAAGAAGAATGCTGTCCATCAAGGACAACTTTTATACTTTCATTGGAAAGAAAGGATTCGATATTCTTAAAGATATTACAAAGATAAACTGTAAGAAGATTACTAATGGAAAAGAACAGCATGCCAAACTTTATCAAAAGCTTTAGAAATGTCAAGACCAATAGCCTTAACCTCTCCATTTCTGCATAATGCGCAATAAAACCCTATCGGTTATTACTGTTAGCAAATCAGCTGTAGAATGAGAAAATCAAAATCCATATTGATGATCAGAAAGTAAGTTATTAGATTCAAAATGAGAGATTAAGTGTTTGTTAATTCAAGATTCAAAAACCTTGCTTATAATAATAAGACTAATGGGACGGTAGTTAGACGAATCAGATTGCTCTCCAGAATTTTTGAAAATAGGAATAACAGATGCCGCTTTACAGCATAACGGAAAACAAGACTATGATAAACACTTGTTGAATAGTTTTGAAAGTATAGATGACAGCTCCGGATAACACTTCTGCAAGACTACAACAGGTATGTTGTGCGGACCACAAGCTTTAGAAGAGTCTAAGCAGGAAATCACTTTTGATGTAGAAGCTGGAGTGATACGAATGTCAAGCAATGAATCAACCTGTTTGAATCCATGAAGTTATGTAAGAAGCACATTTGTCAGCAGGAAGATGAAAGATTTCTACCCAAGGGCCATCACGAAGAAAATCACAGAAAGAGTCCCAGTCAGCTTTAAAGTAGTTGTAAAAGGTACAATGATAGGGGGATTCTGATAATGAAGAAGAATGAGATAATAGTTTTAGAGAGATCAAACCGTGATCAGAAGCACCTAAGGGTGAATGTGGAGAAACTGAGCAATTACTAGGATCAGAAACAAGACATATCTCGAGTAGAGAAGGTAAATGATTCGGGTTGTCTGAAAAGTGAGATGGAAAGTTGACTATTTGAGTTAGAGATTAAGAAAGGCAAAAGTTATGTGCTTTAACGCCTGCAGAGTCACTGACACTAGAGCCAAGCCATTCAGTGTGATGAGCATTAAAGTCACCAACAACAACGTTATTGGCTGACGGATAAAGAGAGAGGGCTTGGTCAATATGATCAGAAATAACATCAACAAGAGTGCAGTCTTGAGATGAAGGAGAGTGATATAGAACAAAGAGAAAGACAATAGAGTGAAGTGGTGCTAAACAAAAGCACATAAAAGAGTAGTCTTTGGATTCAAACCTAGTCTCCCAAAAAATGAGTTAATTCTTACGAATGTAAATGCCTAGGCCAAGTATGTGACTATTGGAGTCTTTATGAATTAATGGAAGATAACCATCAACAATAAGATCACAAGATAAGACAGGTGAACTCAAATTTGTCTCTCAAAGAGCAAGTAGGTTTGGTGAACTTTGCAAGAGATAAGATTCAACAGAAGAAAAGTTACTTCAAATACCTGAATATTTGTAAATGATAGGTTTAGCGAACTTGGTGATGACGATGGTTTATTGTGTTTTATAGTTTCTGCTACTTTAGTCATTTTAAATTTCTTAAAGAACTTGACTCAAACCATAGATAGTACTCAGTACACTATCTAATAGTCCGAGCAATGGTCTCATTACTATTAATAAAACCTAAGCTCTAATAAAGGGCTCTAAATGTGGCCTCAACAATGCACACCAAAAGTACGAACAGGGACACCATCCATTTACAACATGGCACTGTTAGTACTCTGATATTTTTCAGCTATTGATGGAATTAGCCTCTCTGAGAGCTACCACAGAGTTTGGGAAACCTGACTACGAGCTGGCCTCGTAGAATTATTAAACTGAGTTTTAGAGCTGTACCCTCATTAGGAGATAATAAATTGAGTTGTCTAGTCATAAAAACAGAAACACAAGCAAAACCCATTCATTAAGTCAAGAAGATCCTGTTTATTATACCTGAAGCCTCTGAAATATGTTGTTATGCTTTTATTATTACTACTCTCTGGATACCTACTAGTTTTATTATTAACTTTTTGTTCTCATATTTTTATTGCTATTGTTAGTATTGATATTAATAATATTCTTCTATCTTTATTAGTAAATTGTTATTTTTATTTACAACATAACAAGTATTATTGCTTTTTTTAATTTTTTCTAAAGTTTATTTACTATTTATACTTTATAATTGTTATTATCACTATTATTGCTGTTATCTAATATTGATTGTATAATATTTTTTATTATTATTGTTAGTATTGTTACTAATAATATTCCTCTTCATCGCCATCTTATTATTATTGTTAATATTATTTCTATCATTATTATCAATACTATTATTATTGTTATTATGATCACTTTTATTGTAATGTTGCAGGTTTTTACTTTAGATTAGTACTTGTACTATTTGTAAAAGTCCTTGAAATTTTACAACTTATTTCAGAATATATTGAATTGAAATAATTGAATTGAATTGATGCAGCATTCAACATCCTAAACTTTATTATTAAAAATATATCAGCCTAATAGATGAAAAAGGGGTGTGAGGCTGCTCAACAGATTGAACCAGTTTATCCCTTTAGTCTTTGCCTAGAAGGCCTTCTACAAGACAGAAGCTGGATGCATTTAACATCTGCCTAAGATGAGTATTTTTATTGAAACACTATCTTTAACCTTTACTCAACCAAGTCTCCTAAGGCAGCGGGTGTTCTAAGTCGGAGTTGACTTCTCCTAGCCCATGCCTAAAAAGCATATCCTTCAAGGCAGCAGAAAATGAAGCAGGTTGTACTGGGTTACATGTTACCTGTAGCAGGATAATCTGACCTGACAATATTTTTGTGGCGGTAGTTTAAAATTTATTTTATGGCGGTAGTTTAAAAAAGTTCATGTCCATAAATAAAAAAATAAAAAACAAAGACAACTAAATATGATGCCAAAATCATGACAAGCTAATGCGCTAAGACGTTTTTTTTTTAAACAAGGCCTGTAATATGGTAACTTAAATACATTTATTTAAAAGTATATATATATATATATATATATATATATATATATATATATATATATATATATATATATATATATATATATATATATATATACATATATTAATTTGAAAAATATATTTATACATAAATATTTTAGAATATATAGATACACAAAATTTTATTTAATCCTTTTAAATATAAAACATTAAGGAAAAATCTGATAAGCATACAAGATATTGCCTGCTACATGAACATCATTCTGCAAATAACAATTCTGCAAGAATACCATTTAAAATCTTAGTAGTGCAGTAGCTAAGGCCTGTGTCACATCTCACAGCATAAAATTGGTTAAAATGTTTTAACAAAAATAATTACGTGTTATAAGATGAGCCTGTCTAAACATCTTCTATTAGATGTTAGTCATTTAAAAGAGCTACTTGAACACAACCCACAACATAATGGGCACTGCTTAACAAGCAATCTTGGGTGTTACAATTATTTATTGTCATCTGAATCAGCTTGGTTAAATTTTAAACCTAGGCATTCGATTAATGACTTGATTCTGAATTAGTAAAATCTTAAAGTTTATTCACTTTTTTGTAAAAAAAAGCAAACTCTTTATAGTTTGCTTGACAACTCTTTATAGTTTGACAATGTTAGCATGTTAGGATCATATTTTTATGTTAATCACACCAAAAAAAAGTTTCATTGAATCAAAAAGCTAATACAGACTCCAAAATCTGAACATCATCCAAAAAAGATAGTGCTTTCAGTGTAGTAGGCCCTATATTGCACATTGGAAATTGCTTTTTACCAATACAGCTGTCATTGCAGAGGTCAACTGTGCAGAAAAGTTTAAAAAAATATCAACTAATCATCCATAGTAACATAAAATATACTTTTCCCTTGACAATGCTCAACCATGTTGCAAAATCAACTCAGCAAAAACTATTGGGAGCTGGAAAACATTACCAAAACCAGTGTATTTACCAACCTCAAACCTTTTTTGCTTCCAAGCCTAAAGAGTTCTATACACAGGACATCCATTCTTTACACCCATGTTGGCATATATAATTTAAAATATGGAGCATATATAATTAAAAAATATAGAGCACATATAACTAATATTTGAGCATAACTAACATAATTAAGTTTTATTTCTTATTAACAAAATATTCAAAAAATCAAGTCTAATTATATTTGCATAAACCTATTACAACTTAAAATTTAAAATAAAAATTTAAAACTCAAGTTCTAATCCAATCTATAAATGTAAGTATTTTTTAGTAGAATATCTTTAAAATCAGTTTTACTTTTAACAAAGATTAAAAAAGAATTAAAATAAAAAGTAGGAAAGTCAATAACATTTTAAAAATTGTCAAACATTTAAAACATTCAGAAAATTACCTGTCATAGACTGCTCGAAAACTGTCAGAAAACAAATAAGAGAAAAGTTCTTTAGTGGGCAAGCTCCATCTAATAACCTCAGTGAGCTGTGAGAGTTCAGTAGAGGTTGCATTTAACAAATCAACAAAGGAGTCAACAATATGAAGCAATGCTTCCCCACCAACAAGTTTTGTGATTTGTCCCCAAGACTCTGTAATAAATTAGTTTACTAATTTATGATAAACATGCTTCATACAATTAATCATACATTATATAGAAAATCATAAAGAAGAAAAAAAATCAGAATTATTTTGGCCTTACAAATGTAAATAAACACTGCGTATATATATTTTTGCGGATATATCACACAAAAAAAGATTGCTGCCCCAGTCCAAAACCTCAGTCGGTGTAGCGGCACCCCTTGTGGCAACAGGCTATTTCAGTGTGATGTCTGACGTTATTTAAACAAGTATTTAAGCATATATATATCTATATATATATATTTATATATATTTATATATATATATATATATATATATATATATATATATATATATATATATATATATATATATATAAAATATATATATACAGTATTATCCAAAAGGTAAAAATTTATATGTATATATATATACAGGTTTTGGCTGGAAGCGAGAGCTTTAGCTCTCACCCTTGCCCACACTCCCCTACAACAGTTTACGAGAGCAATTTACGGCTCTTGCAAAAATATAATTTTCTCGATAAAAATAATAATTTTAGTTTTTATAATATAATAGCAAGAATATATTGTAAATATAATAAACAAATAAAAAAAATATAAACAGAAAAACACTTATTATACATAAAACTAAGGTTAATAAAAGTAAAAAATGCATTAAATGCATACACAAAAATAAATGACATATAAATATAACAATAAAAATACACATCAATATAAACAATGTATTCACTAAACAAAACTTATAATTTTTTTCTTGTTCTTTTCTTTTAATGACATTATTGTTTCTGGTAGACTAACGTAATTCATTTCGTATTTTTTTTTTTTTTTTTTTTTTTACATTTTCGAACTACTTTTTCTTTTACCAAATCTTTTTTTTTCTATTTGGTACGTTATTTTGATTTGCTTTTTATCTTTATTTGTTTGTATCCTTTGATCTTATTTTTACTTCATTTTGTTTTATAATTTGATATTGTTTAAAATGGTATTTTGATTTTTTTTTCCTCTATTTGATTTCTTTCCTTTTTTACCGTTAAATAAAAACATCCTCCATTTGCGATGTCATTGCAAAGATGTATATATGTTTAGTCTTATTAACACAAATAGAACTGTTTGTTTTTTGTGTTTTTTCCGTTTTGTGTTTTATCTTATTACACATATCAAATTCATTTGTAAATAACCACATAAAATAAGCTTAATCTAATATTTAATGTTTTTTTATTTAGATATATCCTCTGATGAATATGTCTTCACCATTATGACATATTTATACCATGCAATGCTGACATTTTTGTACTTTGTCACACTCTGCCCCACTGTGCACTGGGCATTAGAAATGTATATCAACAGTGAAAAAGTTGATAGTAAGATCAGTTGATATGGAAATTCGTTTCGTAAGACAACACCGTTTTATGGAGCCGATAAGTCTGATGAAAGACTAATTATGAAAAGATATGAACTTACTGGATCCATAAAAATTCAAAAGCAATCAAGAAGACTACACAAAACAACATATTATCAGGATAAAAAGCTTGCAATATTGTTATGAACTGTAGTATTTCTACTACAAAACGTTGTTTACATTACGCAAATGTGTTTAGAAGACATCCAGCCGAGAAGCCATTGATTTCCTTGAAAAACTGAAATGCCTGAGAAGAATTAGAACCACAACATCTCAAGTGGAGTAGTCAACATTGGTCCTTTTTAATGAATTGATGAAAAAAAGTTTATGCAGTTCGAACCAGATTGCAATCCCGGGATCCCGGGATTTTATACAAATTGTTCATCCCGAAATCCCGGGATTAGTCTCCGAAGTTCCCGGTATTTCGGGATCGTCAAAAAAAAGGAAAAGTTAATAAAGTTTAAGCTTATAATTGTAGTTTAGTAATTTGTTTGGTTGTGTAATTAATTATTCTTTTTGCAATGTTTTTCTTTTAAAACTCTTTTTTTCTGTATTTTACTAAAAAAAAAAAATTCAAAACATTATTGCTTGTCTGCAAAATGTGTATATGTTTATATATATATATATATGTTTATATATGCTTATATGTTTATATATGTTTATATATATATACATATATATATACATATATATATATATATATATATATATATATATATATATATATATATATATATATATATATATATATATATATATATATATATATATATATATATATATATATATATATACATGTATATATATAATTAAAATTAAAAATATATAAGAAAATAAAATTAATGTATAACTTTTATTAAAAACTCTTGCTCTTTCTACCAGCAAGCGCTTATATTTTTGTTATTATTTATAATATACTAGTTTTGATATTATACTATATATATTTTATATTATAATATTAAAACTAGTATATTATAAAAACAAATAAAATTTAAGCGCTTGCTGGTAGAAAGAGCAAGAGTTTTTAATAGAAGGTATACATTAATTTTGAATTTTCTGCTTCCAAAAGTATGCACGATTTTAATTCCATTTTTATATCCATTCATTTTAATTTCAAATGTTTTTTTAACGCCCTGCATATTTATATTATTTTTTAATTTTTATTATTATTTTTATTGTGTTGCCATTTTAAAGTATTGTTTTATAATTCCTTATACTTAGGTTTATTAATTTTTAAAAGTCTTAGATAAGTTTTAATACAAAATTAAGTTAAAACTTAATTTTAGAACTTCATTAATGTATAAAATATTTTAGTTATACTATCATTAAATTAATCATTTTTAAGTGTTTGATGAGTGCTTAAAAAATATTCAATTGCATTTGCGCTTTTTTCTATTCAATCCTGGAATTTCCTGGGGACAAATTTCTAAATCCCAAAATCCCGGGATTGAAGATATCCGGAATTTTTGCCATCCCTAAATTTAAAGTCCAGAATGTAAATCCATAAGAGAGATCAAATTAAAATCAGTTGCTTGCTCTTAGCAATCAAAAAGTGAAGATTTAAGACAAGAGTATAAAGTTGAGTCAACAGTAAATAGAGCCACTTTAAATGTAAAATTTTTATGAAGATTGTTATTGTAGATAAGGAGCAAAGATAGAACCTTGCAGTAACCTTAAAGTCACTTGAAATAAAGAAGAGAGTAGGCCTTCAAGAATAACTTTAATACTGCAGTTAGAAAAAAATAATTTATTAATCTCAAAAACTTTGTATAAAGAAACTAATAACAGAGTGATGACTAATCTTAGGATAGCTGAAGAGGTCCAAGTGTTTTATAGAGTTTTGACCCCACCCTGGCCCCAGTTTTATTTTATCAAATCTGGCCCTGGCCCCGTTCAAATATCAACTCTGGTTACTTATTTTTACAAAGTCCAAAAAAATAAAGAAATAAAGAGATAAAATGCAGTGATAATATCTGTTGGTACATTTTTAATATTTAGAAAGTATTATATATTGGATATAATATACTGGATTGAGTGGAGAAAAAGAGACATCTAGCATTTTATAGTATATCTAAAGATAATTTAGTTTTTTTTTTCTAGAAAAAAAAGTTGAAGTAGATGTTGGAGTGTTGACAACATGAGTGGGCAAAATAATTATTAAGCAAAACTGTGAGTGTTAAGAAAACATCATAATTGAAAACCACCTAAAAATGCAAATGCAGAAAAATAGAGATAAGAATGATGGTAATCTTTTATCAATAATCAATCAATAACACCATAACTATGATTTATTACATTTAATAAGTAATGGCTACAAAACTGGGAGAGCTCAATTTGAAAGGAAAAAGTTTCTAAGTAAGTTCAGTTTTGATTAGAAAGGTGTGTGATTGCATATTTTTATTTGATCACATAAATGATATCTTGCTTTGATAACTCAACCATAGCTGTTTACATGTTTTGAAAATTTAAAAAATGAAAAAAATGATCTAAACTAAATGTAAAATAAAATAAAAAGAACTTGAATAAACTAACCCCCCCCCTCCCAAAAAAAAATAAATAAAAATAATAATAATAAAATAAATACAACTCAGTTAAAATAAAAAACAATAAAAATACAACTCAGTAAATAAAAAGTACAACTCAGTAAACAAAAATACAACTAGTACAACTCAACTCAACAAATACAACTCAACAAATACAACTAGTACAACAAAAATACAAAAGTACAACTCAGTAAACAAAAATACAACTCAGTAAATAAAAAATACAACTCAGTAAATAAAAAACAAAAAAAAAAAAAAAAATTCACAAAAAATAAAAATACAACTCACAGTTTAAATAAAAAAAATACTAGGATTAAATAAAACAAATTTTTAAAAAACATTTTGAATAATAAACATTAAATCATTTTATTCATTTTTTAAATTTTAAATCTTTATTTACACAAAAGAGCATTTAACGAGGAAACTTACAAATACTTGTTGGGCTCAAGCTTAGCAGATAGAGCGGGTCCAACTACTTTACTGCGTTTTTGGACCTTGTCTAGAAGAGAAAAAGCATCATTAGAAGAACCAGTCCAAATATGACAACAGTATTCCATACAGGGATGAGTAAGAGATTTTAGAGGTAGAGAATGGAATCAGGAGTAAAAATAATGCGAGCATGATAATGAGAAGCAACCTTAGCAGATGGTAATTTAGCCATTGATTGTATGTATGGTTTCCATGAAAGGTAAGTAATAAACAATAATCCGAGGAGACGTAAAGAAGAGGACTCAGTAAGAAGGTTGCCATCGAGAAATAGGAATGTTGACAGTATTGCAATAGTTCTTAGTAGTAAATAACTGAGTTTTGATGGAGTTAAAATTTAAATGCCACTGCAAGCCCCAACCTTTTACAGAAGTTAGATCAAACTCAAGATCAGCTGCCTGTTCTAAGCGATCGCAAAGTGAAGACTTTTTAGTCAAGACAGGAGTATAAAGTTGAATCATCAGCAAAAAGAACTACTTTAGATGTAAGGTTGTCAGGAAGATCATTAATGCAGATAAGAAACAAAATAGGACCAAGGATAGTCCCTTGAGGTACCCCAGAAGTTACTGGAAATGAAGAATTTTGTTGGCCTTCAAGGATGATTCTAATAAAGTGGTTAGAAAGAAACAATTTGATCATCTCAAAAACATGCATGCCAAAATTTGTTGAAAGCTTTAGATATGTCAAGAGCAATAGTTCTAGCTAGTTCTCTTATTGCACGATAATTGGAGGGGTGAGAATGTTTACGTAAGTTTTTGAAAATTAGAACAACAGATGCCAATTTTCAGCACGCAGGAAAAGAAGACTCAGTCTAGCATTTATTAAATAGTTTAAAGAGAATTGAAGAGAGTTCTGGAGAACAATTTTGTAAAACTGACAGGAATGTTGTCTGGACCACAAGCCATAGAAGAGTTTAATTGAGATATGACTTTAGCAACAAAAGCTAGAGTGATTTGAATGTCTAACAATAGGTTTAATAAGGCTAGGTAATAAGATCAGTCCCATGAATGAGAGATGAAATGTTAGACCCACCCTTGTTAATGATGCTGTTGAAGATTTTCAAAAAGTCTCTAGAGCCTAACGGCTGATAAAAGATACAAGATTTAGTGAACTGAGAATAATGGAGCTTAGCATCAGACAGTACCTTTTTACATCCATTTCTTGCAAATAATAAATAGCTGTTTCTTCTCTGGAGAGTTTTCTGAAAAAAAATGATTACGATTAGATATAGCAGCTGCATAAGAAAATAAAAACCATGGAGTAGAATAAGGCTTGACTTGGAACTGATAAGAAGGAATAAATAATCCATTCATGCCTGAATCCAGGAGGTTACATAGAAGGCACATTTATCAGCTGAGAGAGAAAAGACATCACCCCAAGGACTGCCACAAAGAAAATTACGAAAAGAATCCCAACTTTAGGGTAGTAGTAATTAGTGCAATGATAGGGTGAGTCCAAAAAGGAAGTGTGAGAAAAGATTTAAAGAGATCATTGCATTGTCAGAACTACCTAAAGGAGAAAAAGGAGAAACTGAACACAAGGTAGGATCCGAGACAAGACATAAATCAAGGAGTGAAGGTAAATGATTAGGTTTGTCAGGAAAACAAGTCACAAAGTTAACTATCTGAGTAAGAGATTGAGAAATGCAGAAGTTATAGGCTTTAGTGCCAGCAGGATCATTGGCATTAGATCCAAGCCTTTCAGAGCAATGAGCATTAAAGTTGCCAATAACAACAATTATGGCAGAGGGGTAAAGAAAGAGAGCATGATCAATTTGATCAGAAATTACATCTAAAAGAGTGCAGTCTTAGGAAGATAGAACAATAAAGAACAAAGAGAAAGTTGATAGGGCGAAGAGGTACTAAGCGAAAGCACATAAAAGAATGGTCAAAGGATTCGAACCAGATTTCACAACAAATAGGTAAATTGATACGTATGTATACCCCCAAGCCAAGCATGTGATTATTGGAGTCTTTGGGAATCAAAGGACAGTACCCATCAACACTGAGATATGAAGAAGGAATAGCAGAATCAAAATTATTTTCGCTAAAAGCCAACAAGTCTGCTTAATTTTTCAAGAGGTAAGATTCAATTGATGGAAGATTGCTTTGCAGACCACAAATATTTGTAAAAGATATATTAAAACAGCTAGATGGTGGGGATGGTTTTTTATATTTAATATTTTGGGTTTTTTATATTTAATATTTTAAATAGAACTTGACTCATTCATAAATAGAGCACTGTCTCCTAAGCAATGAGCTATGCAATCAACTCAGTCCTGTTAATTAACCATAAGTCAAAAAACTGGGCTTAATACGCAACAATGCACACTAAAAGCATTAACTGGGACACTATCCATGCACAACATGAAACTGTTAATACTATGATATTTTGCAACTGTTGATGGAATCAGCCTCTCTAAGAGCTACTACAGAGTTCGGGAAACCTTATTTCCAGTCGGTCTCAGAACCTTTAAACTGAGTTTCAAAGGTGTACCCTCATTAGGAAATAACAGGAAGAGTTGCATAGCCATGATCAAGGAGGCACAAACAAAAACCTATGAGAAGAGTCAAGTAGATCATCCTAGGTGGGAAACAGTGTAACACATCTATGCCAGATATAAATAGATAAAGAAGGGGTTCGAGGCTGGTTAACATAACTATTTTGCTTACCCCTTAAGTCTTTGCCTAGGAGGCCTTTTATAAGACAGTAGCTGGATGCAGTTAACATCTGCCCAGGAAGAGTATTTTAATTGAGACACTATATTCAGCCTTTACTCAACCAAGAGTCCAGGGAATTTTTAAGTCAAACTTTTTTCTCCCCAAACTTTGCCTAAAAAACCACATCCTGCAAGGCAGTAGTGCATGGGACAGGTAGTAATGGGTACTTTAAATAAAATATATAACCCATATGCATTATTATAAATTATATTTATATTAATGCACTATATTTATATCATTTTTATACATTTATATCTATTATTAAAAAAGAAAAATACCACACACCACTGCTTATAAGCGGGTCAATTATAGCTTTTTGAATTATTGTTAACTGTTGGAAAAATAATCGTTCAGCTCTTGAAAATTTATAAATTGTTCCAACTACAGAGTTGCTGCTCATTCTAAAGAAAAGTTTATAAATTTAAATTTTCTTTTCTAAAAAAGATGAAAATTATGTTTATATATTATTTACTAATATTTTTTAGAGTTTAATTTATATAGTTAAAAATTAAAAAAAACAAAAAATAAGTTAAAGTAGAATTAACAAAACAAAAAATTACTGCAATCTTTAGATTAATCTAATAAAAAAATTTAATAAAAAATTTAATATAACAAATCTAATTATATTTATCAAATATAGGTGTTTTTTAATCTATATTTGTATTACTATTCATATTTTTGTCATAGATTGGCACTTGAAACCTTACCATGACAAGTTACCATTAAATAATTTATAATTATAAATAATTAAATTAAATTTTCATAACTTTAATTTATATATAAATTTATAACTTTTATTCAACTTTTATAAATTTTCAGTTTAATCTTTTTTGAGAAAGTAATCAAAAGGATTTTAAAATTTATTTTACATACTTTTCAGTGATGCAACCAAAGCAAAAATCATTAGCATATATTGAGCGCACTAACTCCTCCTACAAATCCAAAAAATTCAGCAAATTAATTTATTGACAGATAATTACTAAAAATTAACTATTATTATTTTATTTATTATAATAAACCTTAATTTTTCTTAAATGCTAAAATAAAAAATTATTAAAAAAAAGAAAAATTATTCTTTATTATACATTATATTTTTAATTTTGTAATTAGTTTATTAAAAATTAAATAATCATATTCTGTTTTTCAGATATTTCGGATGAATAGGGACATAATAAGTGCAAATGATTAAATAGGAAATACTATTGCTATATATATATAATATATATATATATATATATATATATATATATATATATATATATATATATATATATATATATATAAAATTAGTTTTTATTTAAAAAAAGCATCTGGTTGTTTCTCTTTATCTTGCTTACTGTTTTCTTACTCCTGATTCAACTCTCTTCTTCTAAAAATCTATAACTCCTTTGTTAATGGAATACTGTTGTCATACTTGGCTGGTTCTTTTAATGACATTATACCTCATTTAGACAAGGTCCAAAAACACAATGTAAATGTGGTTGAACCTGCTGTAGCTTCATAGCTTGACCATCTATCTCATTATTAAAAAGTTACTTTCTCTTTTCTACAAATATTACAATGGTCACTGCTAAAGTTTTTATTGTTCTATCAACCAAAACTCAACATTGTGTGAATCATCATTCAGCAAAGTCTGCAAATGTGCCTTTGTATTTGTAAAAAAAAAATCTTTATTTAAGAAAAACTTAAAATAAAGTTTTTATTAAATAAAGTTTTCTTCCTCAAACACTAATGCTTTGGATTAGTTGCTCTCTCTCACACTTATCTATCTCTCTCTCTCTCATGACTGGCTATTTACATTTTTCAAGTCTCCTGTTTTTCTTGCACTTTAACACAACTTTCTATTAAATACCAACTTGAACAGTAGTAGCTGTGGAGTGTTAACTGATAATTTAAATAGTAATTGCTTTGGAGTCTTAACTGCCAACTTAAATAGTGGTTGCTTTAGAGTGAATTTATTTGGAAAGTAAAAAAAAAAAGGTAAAAAGATGTAAGTATGTGGTAAAAAAGTGTGTGTATATATATATATATATATATATATATATATATATATATATATATATATATATATATATATATATATATATATATATATATATAAATCTTTTATAAATAGTCAATAAATCTTAAAGAGGTAAACCTGTTTTTTTAGCCAAACTTAGATAAAATTTACTAAACTTTTCTAATAAAAAATTAGTTTTTTTTTACATTTTCAAAATGAGTAAACTTTCTTATATGAACATCAACAGAAGCATCCTTTCCAATTTTCTTTGAACGCCGTGACAAACGCCACCAATTGTCATTTCTCTTTTTTGAAGAAGTTGGCACTTTAATAACAGGATTTGAAATTGATCTACACATTTTTAGACTAAATAAAAATTAAAAATTTATATTATTATAAAAAACTATTTTACAAATATTTTAACTTTTTAATAATGAAATCCAATGTATATAAGATCTTTAACAATAGCATTATTATAGAAAAAAATATTGTTAACATTCATAATCACACAACAATCTACTAATTATGGACATATGTAAACCAACCGTGCACATGCAACTAATTGCGCACATATGTAAACCAAGCGTGCACATGCAACAAATATTACAAGCCTTGTTTTAAATAAAAAATGATTAATGCATTAGCTTAACGCAATTTTGACGTCATAAAATTCTTTTTATATTTTTTATTTTTTAAACACATTAACTTTTATAAATTATTTCAAAAATATTAATTGACGCAAAGCAAGTTATTTTTGTTATGTTATTTAACAGCTTTTTTATTATTACAATAAGAAAATGTTTATTTTTTTTATTTTAATTTTTTTATTTTTGATATTAAATAATAAAATTTAATATCGCATTTTGAAAAATGTTTGATATTAACAAATTTCATTCTTTTCTTGACATTTGCATAAATGAATTAAAATATGTTAAATTGTTGAATTTTTAAAATGATTATTTCTAAAATTTCTAAATTGTGGCTTTACAACTACAAATGATTTTTTATTTAAAAAAAATTAGTGAGTAACAAATAAAAAAGTTAATTCATTTACCTTTTTTTATTAAAATTTTAATAGTTTATTATATTATTATTAAAACTATATCACTGTATATATCATTTATCATATATGTAAAAATTTTATATTTATCATAAAAATAATTGCTGCGACTTAACTTGGGTTATAAAAAAAAAGTTGCTGCAAGCAACCACTAATTAGAGTTGAAAGTTACTGAAGAGAAAAGAGGAAGATTGTAGAGCAAGATAACAATTGACAGACAACTTAAAAGATTTCAAATTATATGAATCAGGAAAGCAAGATGAAGAAAGCAAATTCCAAAGAACTGATGTTTGAGGAAAAAAACTAGAGGAACAAGAGTTTTTGGAGCACTTAGGAACAGTCACAGAAAAAGGATGAGATTTAATTAAATGACAAGTAACACAAGAATGAATTTTAGTAGATGGCACAAGAGATGCTAGCTCTTTAGAGCAGTGCCCATTATAGTATTTGTAGAAAAGAGAAAGAGAAGCAACATTACGACGATGTGATAATGGTTGAAGGTTGGCTGCAAGAGCAGGTCCAACTACATTTACAATGTGTTTTTTCACCTTGTCTAAAAGTGAAAGGGCATCATTAGAAGATCCGCCCCAGACATGGCAAAAGTATTCCATACAAGACCGGATTTGAGATTTTTAGAGAGAATAGAATCTGGAGTAAGAAAGTGTCGAGCTTAATGCTGCACAATGTGAGGAAAACCATGGAGAAGAGTGAGGTCTGACCTGGAATCGTTAAGAGGGAATAAAAGATTCCATGCCAGCCTGAATCCACAAAGTTATGTAAGAAGTACATTTGTAAACAGGAAGATGAAAGATTTCTACCCAAGAGCCATCACGAAAAAAATTACAGAAAAAGTCCCAGTCAACTTTAAGGTAGTTGTAAGAGGTATGATGATAGAGGGATTCAGATGATAAAGAAGAATGAAATAATAGTTTTAGATCAAACTGATCAGAAGCACCTAAGAGAGAATGTGGAGAAACTGAGCACTGACTAGGATCAGAAACAAGACATATCTCGAGTAGAGAAGGTAAATAATTTGGGTTGTCTGAAAAGCAAGTTGGAAACTTGACTATTTGAGTTACGGATTGAGAAAGGCAAAGGTTGTGGGATTTAATGCCTGCAGAGTCACTGACACTAAAGCCAAGCCATTCGGTGTAATGAGCATTTAAGTCACCACCAACAACAATATTGGCTGATGGATAAAGAGAAAGGCTTGGTCAATATGATCAGAAATAACATCAAGAAGAGTGCAGTCTTGAGATGAAGGAGAGCAATATAGAACAAAGAGAAAGGCGATAGAGTGAAGTGGTGCTAAATGAAAGCACATAAAAGAGTAGTCTTTGGATTCAAACCTAGTCTCCCAACAAATAAGTGAATTCTTACGAATGTAAATGCACTGGCCAAGTATGTGACTATTGGAATCTTTATAAATTAAAGGAAGATAACTATCAACACTAAGATCACAAGATGAGACAGGTGAACTCAAATTTGTCTCTCAAAGAGCAATTAGGTCTGGTGAACTTTGCAAGAGTTAAGACTCAACAGAAGAAAAGTTACTTCGAAAACCACAAATATTAGTGAATGATAGGTTTAGAGAACTTGGTGATGACAAATGCTTTTTGTGTTTCATAGTTTTTGTTACTTTATTCATTTTTAAATTTGTTAAAGAATTTGACTTGAAGCATAGAATGTTGAAGAATTTGACTTGAAGCATAGTACTCAGTACACTGTTTAATAGCCTAAGCAATCGCCTCATTACTATTAATAAACATTATGCCACATTGGAGCCTTAACAAAAGGCTCCAATGTGGCCTTGGCAATGCACACCAAAAGTACAAACAGGGACACCATCCATGCACAACATGGCACTGTTAATACTTTGATATTTTTCAGCTATTGATGGAATCAGCCTCTCGGAGAGCTACCACAGAGTTTGGGAAACTTGACTACCAGCTGGCCTCATTATTAAACTGAGTTTTAGAGCTGTACCCTCATTAGGTGATAAAAGAATGAGTTGCCTAGTCATAAAAACAAGCACACCCATGCATCGAGTCAAGCAGATCCAGCATTCAACATCCTAAACTGGAAACAATGTATTATAAATACATCTGCGCCAGCCACTTAAGTTTTGCGCAAATTTTTGATACAGCCATTTATTTAAAATTTAATTGTGAGTAAAAAAAAATGTTCAGGAAGGAAAACCAATTGCGATAAAAATGAGCTAATATTTTTTTAAAGAACAAATAAAATTTCAATATTAAATTATATTTAGTAATATTTTTAAATAAATTTAACAGTTAAGTTAAACCAAGCATTAACTTTAATTTTAATAAACTTAAATATTTTTTTTAAATCAAAATTAAATTATATATTTTTAAAATCTAAATTTTTTTTTTTTAATCATGATAAAATTATATATTTTTATCAAATTAGTTTCAAATTAAATCTTATATTTTTTATCAGAATTAAGTTATGCTTTATGATATTTGCTTCAATCAATAAAATAAAAACAAAATAAAAATAAACTTAACTTTATTTGAATTATTTTCAATAGTAAACAGCGCTTATAATAAACATAATTGTCATTCAAACTTTTGAACAAATATTTCTAAATAAACTTCATTCAATAGTTAATGTAACTTTTTTTAAAATTAATTACTTCTTTTACCTTACCGCTTATTGAATAATTTAAAAGATAAAAACTGATAAAAAGTCACTTAACCGAAATCGCTTACTGCTCACGTAAAATCGCTTAAGGCGTACGTAAATCGCTTCAGGCATAATGCTTTAAAACAAGGCCTGATATTACATAAGTAACTATTTATCAACATCAATGTCCACTTGTCTACTGGTCGCATACAAATGTCACCAATAAAACATAAACATTTATTTTCAAATCATGCACTTACAAATAAAAGTCATGCATAAGCACTCTTATCTTTCTATCTTGATCATTTAAATATCTAATAAAGCAATAAATTACATACGGATCTAATTCCCCACAATAAAAGACTTCAGTTTTGATTCTAGATACATCACCCATAAAAAGAGAAAAATTTCTGCCAGCTGCAATATCCCAAACATTGATACCAACTAAAGCCTAAAAAGTTAATACAAACTAAAGATAAGAAATAAAAATATAAAAAACATTTCTTTTTCAATTTAACTATAAAGCAATATTTTGCTCTCATATCTTTGCTCAATATTTTGTTAATTATTGACATTCATAAGTTAAACAAAAATTATACGAACAATCCATAAAACCTAAACTAAAGTGAGCTGTCTAACATGAGTTTTTAACTTTCTTATGTGAATTACCTTCATCACAGCATAGGTATATAAAGAAACTTGTAAATGTAAAGAAACATGTCATTGCAAAAAAAAAAAAAATTACACAAATTATTCTATTAACCATGTATTCTGAATAACCTGTCTAATATATATATAACCTGTCATTGATATATCTTATTAGGTACTGATTTTGGTTGTGATAAATATTTAATATTTTACAGTAATGTTTACTTTGTTTTCTTAAAAAATTATTCATTTCTAAACTTGATCGCCAATTTTTAAATGTTCATATAACTAACCTTTTTACTCTTAAATATTCTAAAGTTAGAAATCAAAAAAAAAAAAAAAAGTAATTTTAGAGAAACAGATTTACCATTCATCTCACGAATTTCAGAGAAAATTTATCAATCGTCCCAAGTTTTTTCTTAAACAAAACTTGTTTACTCCTAAATACTTATTTTTGCTCATACTTATCAATTCTCAAAAAAATTTATAAATGCTCAAGATAAAATTCTCAAAAAAATGTCCTCAGACATGATTATTATTTAAATTAACAAAATTGTTGCATATTAAAACTGTAATAAAAATTAAAATGTTTCAAATGTTAAAATGTTAAGAAGTTGCCATGAGAACATAGTAAACTATTTTATAGCAAGATGTAAATTAAAATATTTTAAATAAATATTTTTAATGAATTTATAATATTAAAGTCAAACTTTTCTTTTTTTCTAAATAAATAAGTCACATACAATTACTTAATTCAAATCTCAAAACTTCAATATAGCAACTTTTGTTTTATGAGCTAAAATATTAAATTAAATAAAATTATTATTAATTTAATTTAAGTACCTTCACTTTTTTTGGAAGTTGAATTAGTGTATTTGAATGTGTAAGTTGACCATAAGTGTTATCTCCCCAACTATAAACCTTAAAATATTATAAAATAAAAAATAACATCAAAATGATATCAGATAAAAATAACATCTAATTAATATGAAACAAAAGCAACTTTAAAATATGAACTAAAAATAGAATACTGTTAACATCAAAGAAGATTTTTTTTAGTCTTGGTATGGTAGTAATTTAATACCATTTTATATTTTAGTCCCCCCCCCCCCTTTTCTCTCTTCCTCAATAAAAATCAAATACCTGTCCATGTGCTGTTAGAGCTATGGAATGATCTGAACCAGCTGTAACTTGTACAATATTTTTACCTTTTAGCTTATTGATTAATGTAGGTTCACATCTGGTAATATCATACAAAAAAAAGTTTATAACATACAAAAATGTATATAAAATCATAAAAATGTCACACTATATATATATATATATATATATATATATATATATATATATATATATATATATATATATATATATATATATATATATATATATATATATATATATATTATATATTAGGGGTGTACCAAATGGAAAAATTTGAAATCCGTCTGGAATAAGAATTATATTGATGTAATTTTTTACCTTCAAGGTTGAAAGTTAATTATATAACCTATTTCATTAATTTGATTCTTGTTTCATTTAAATCGAATATGTTGTTTTTATTAATTTCTTACAACTTTATTTATTGAAAGTTTTAACCTGCATAATATTTATATTTAAAATTATTTCTTCTACTTTTCCATTTAGGTTAAAAGTGAAATATTTAATGCATTAGGCATCCTTTACTTTTTAATTATTTAAAATTTAAGTTACATTAAAAATGAGACTATTCACAGAGGCAGGTAACATTTTTGATGCAAAAAGAGTTTGTTGCCCAAAACTGAATAGCAACTCTTTTTGCAACACAATTTCTAAACTTAGAAATATAATTTAGAAATTCTTACATTATTGATTAATCAAATAAAATTATGCTGTGTTTGTTAATGGGATCACCAAGTGCCGAGACGAGTTATGTTCAAATCATAGATAAGCATTAGAAAATAAGTTAAAAGTTAATTAAAATAAAACTTCTATTATGGATGTAACTCTTTATTTTAAATTAATTTTCATACAATATTTCAAGGGATTATAGATACCCTTGTTGTTAAGTATATACATAATATATAAAAAACTGTTAAAAACAAAATATAAACAAAAATAAATCAATGCAATAGTTTCTTTTCATTTAAATACCAAAACAAAGGTTTCCAAAAGGAAGTTGTGACGTAACCTCCATCATCCTGATTTAGAGCTTTGTCCGAAGGTGAACATTAATGGCATTGTATTTCAAGGGCTTCCCTCACTTTTCTGTTAAAATTATTAACTTCTACTTTTAAAGTATTTTTATTGTTCCATGAAAAATTGCCATGACAATTTTTTAAATGCTCCACTATGGCTGAATAATCCCATTTTCCTTCGTATGTATTTTTTTGATGTTGGTAAATGCTAGATGAGACTTTTAATTTTGTTTCACTGATATAACATTTTTTGCAGGAGCATTCAAGTTTGTACACACCTGGGTAAGAATTTATAGGAAGAAGAGGTTTATATTTTGTGATAAGTATATGTTGTAAATTTTTTGTGGTAAGTATATGTTGTAAATTTTTTGGAGATTTAAAGACTAGTGTATAACCTGCTTTTTTGAAAACTTATTTTAACTTCAGGCTAATTCCTGGAATCCACAGTAAAGATACAATATTATTTGATGCAATTGATGAATGTTGAGTTTCAATATTTTGTTTTTTATTATGTAAATTTCCTTTAGTGGTTTTTATAATATTTTTTAGGCTTGTTTTTTTATAACCATTTTCTACAAAAACATCAACTAGAAATAATAACTCTTGGTCAATATTATTATCAGAGCATAAATATATAATAAAAATGAACAAAACTTTTGAAAACTCCGTTTATAATTTTTGGATCATGGCATGTGTTAGGTTTGATTTGGACATTAGTTATGTGTTCGGTTTGATTTGGACATTAGTTATGGCAACTTTATGGTAAACTTTAAAATCATATGTACCATTTTTATTATTAATAATAGTAATGTCAAGAAAGCTTAGCGTGTTAATTTCATTTTCGATTTCCATGGTCATTAAGCAATATTAAAAATTTTTTTGCATCTTCAGTAGAGTTAAAACAAGAATGGGAGTCATCGACATATCTTTTAAATGACTTCAATTGAACATTATTGGAAATCGCTTGTGCAATAGCATTACTTTCATGAAACTGTAAAAATCACTCTGCAACTACTACCATAAGTCCTAAACCAATAGGTCCAGAATCTTCTAGTTCATAAATGTCCTGTTCAAATAAAAAATAACAATGCAAAAAACATATATCTAATAGTGCTTTTACTTCATCAAAGGTAAATTTTGATGTAAAACTAGGATCATTTTTCAACCTCTCAATAAGGATAATTATCGCTTCCTTTACTGGGACTGAAGGATATAAACTAATGAAATCATAAGACACTTGGATTTCATCTTTGTCAATATTCCATGAATTAGCTAAGTTAACAAATTGTTGAGAGTTTTTTAAATGTGTATTGTTTTTATTGAGGATGGGTTGTATCATATCAGATAAGAATTTAGAAATTTTGTATGTAGCCGTTCAAATAGTGCTTACGATAAGTAGCATCGGGTAGTTTTTTTCAGGTTTGTGAACTTTAATGACTCCATACAAATGAGGTGGTATAGCATCACTCGGGTAAAGATCTTAGTATTCTTTAACCGTAAATCGACCTGCTTTATTTAGTTTTCTGAGTGTGTTTTGAACTTTACGAATGATACATGGAGTTGGATCTTTTTATTTTACCTCCTAAATATTCTTGTATTTTGGTTAAAGCACTAGAAGAATTAATTCGCACTAATCCAGATGCTTTATCAAACATATATATCAAAATATAACTGTCTTTCTTAATCTCATAAAGAGCTTTACGTTGTTCTTTAACTAGATTACTTTTTATAGGCTTAGCCATTTTTAAAATTATCAAAACATCCTGTCTTAGTTTAACTCCTTCAGTTTTTTTCTTGTTATACTGTAATTTTAAAGCAGACGATTCAGTAATTGTTATAATATCTAAATAAGGTATGTGCTTTGAATTGGGTACAAACTTTGGACCGAGATCAATTAGTTTTTTATGATGTATTGGTATATTAGAATTAGCTAAATTAAGTGTTACCTCTTTAACTTTTTTAATTGGTTTTTGATGGTTGTTGTTGTTGTTATTGTTTTGTTTATGTAGCAACTTTTCTTGAGATAACTTTTCAAGAAAAAAAAAGTTAAAAGTTAATTAAACTTTCCAAAACAAATTATTGAAAGAGATATTGACAAAAGCATTTGTTGTTTTACCATTATACTTCCCATTGAGAGCCTAATTTAAGGCTCTCAAATCTTTATAGTTTTTTCCGTTAAAAAAAAAAAACATCTGGTTTAAATAATAAATGTTTTCGCTCACTGCAGAATTTTTTAAACTTAGTTCAGTTTTATACAATCAGATTGGATTTTTTCCCTATATATTTTTTCCCTATATATACTGTGGTGGTTATAAAAAACGTTTGCTGAAGCATGTTTTTGTTTTTTTTCAATGTATCATTAAGTGTTTGAGTTAGAATAAACAAACAAATAGTAAGTAAGTGAAACGAACTTTAAATGAATTTTTTTTTTTAGATGATGATTAGAAATTTTTTTTTAGATGAATATTTTTCTTAATCTAACATAGTTAAATTTTGAAAGATTTAAAAATCTCTATTTTTTAACAAATTCAGAAAAAAGTTTAAAAAATGATCTTATATATATTTTAAACTTATGTTTATAATAATTTATATTTCTAATTCAAGAAACCGTTTTTAAAATGATTTCATATATATTTTCAGATATATATAAAATTGATATTAAAAACTTGACTCTTATATTTTTGTTTAACCGCTAAAGGGGAAACCTTTTTTCAACCATTAGAACCTAGTTTATTTGGGGATTTTTTTTTTGGGGTGGGGGGGGTGGGGGTGGAGTGATAATTTGAGTCCCTCCCCCCCCCCCTCCTCCTCCTTTCCTAGTTAAAATCGGTGCCGCAACAATAATTTTTAATCATCATTTTTTCAATCATTATTTTAATCATTTGTGTTTATCTTGTTTAGTTTTATCCAAAGACAAGGAGTTACACTTAAAGGCATTTTTTTTGAATAAAGGAACTTACCTGTGGATGATGTTACTTTAGTTACAATAAGAAAACTATTTTACTTGGACTTAAATAAATGCTTTTGTTGCAATTACCACGCTATTAGTAAATAATTATTGAAAACTGTTTTTGAAAACTTTAGTTAAGATAAGAAAACTATTTTACTTAAAATTTAATATACGCTTTTGCTGCAATTACCACTTTAATAAATGCTAATGTTGCAATTACCGTGCTATTAGTAAATAATTATTGAAAACTATTTAAAGTATTTTAAACATTTATTAACTATATTTTAGTAAACTTAATTTTAGTAGCTATTGATGTTTCAAATAATAATTTAAATAATTAAATTACATAATATATTTAAATATATTAAATCACGTAATATTTGTAAAATTAATAAAATAGTTTTAAGCTTTGTATTCAAATAACTATCCGAACAGAAAACATTTAACAAACGTATTTACTACTATTTTAATTTTAAAATTTTGATTTTAATATCAGCAAATCTGTTCAATTTTTACTAAAGGTTTTTTTAAAGTGATTTTAAGACTTTTAAATTAAAGATAATTAAAGTAGAGATAATTCCTGTAAACATAATTTAAAAAATGTTAATTTTTTTTTATTAAAAAACATATATTTCAAAAAGCATTATATTTTAAAGAATATATAATATTTTTTTAGTCATTAAGTATAATTAAAAACGTTGAATACGTTTCATAACTAAGTTACATTTACAATGGGTTATTTTACGTTTCATAACTAAGTTACATTTACAATGGGAACAGATCTTAATAAAACTTTTAAGTTTTTTAAGTTTTTGTAATTGTAATTTTATCATTTTAGAAGTCAAAAAGAATATGGAAATGAAACAAAACTTTCTGAAAAAGTTTACGTTTCATTTTTTTGTTTTCCTCACAAACTAAAATAGCAAGCTAAAGATCAAAAGTTCATTCATTCAAAAATTAAATTTGCGCGATAGTTGTTTATTTATTATCAACTGCAGTTTACTCTTAATTGCCAAAAAACAAAAGTTAACTTTACTCTAAATGGATATTTTAAAATCATTCTATCTTTTGAAAAAGCAAATTTTTTATACATACCATTGTTATAAAATTTTG